GCTGCTAATCCCAGCACCTTGGGAGGCTGAGGCAGGAGGATCACTTGAGCCCAGGAGTTTGAGACCAGCCTGGGCAACCTAGTGAGACTCTGTCTCTATTTTTTAAAGTTAATTATTTATTTTGAGACTGAGTCTTGCTCTATTGCCCAGGCTGGAGTGCAGTGGCACTATCTCAGCTCACTGCAAGCTCTGCCTCCTGGGTTCACATCATTCTCCTGCCTCAGCCTCCTGAGTAGCTGGGACTACAGGTGCCCACCACCAGGCCCAACTAATTTTTTGTATTTTTTTTTTTTCAGTAGAGATGGGGTTTCACCGTGCTAGCCAGGATGGTCTGGATCTCCTGACTGCGTGATCCACCTCCCTCGGCCTCCCAAAGTGCTGGGATTACAGGCGTGAGCCACTGCGCCCAGTCTTTGTTTTTTGTTTTTTTTTTTAAAGCATGGTGGCTCATGCCTGTAATCCCAACATTTTGGGAGGCTGAGGTGGGCGGATCACTTGAGCAGCCTGGGCAACATGGCCAAACCCTGTGTCTACAAAATACAAAAATTAGCTGGGCCTGGTGGCACACGTTTGAAGTCCCAACTACTTGGATGAGTGGGAGGATGGCCTGAGCCTGGGAGGCAGAGGTAGCAGTGAGCTGTGATCACACCTCTGCAAACCAGCCTGGGTGACAAGAGACAGACCCTATCTCAAAACAATATATAAATAAAGAAAAAGCAGATTTAACCCATCTGACAACGGATGAATAACCAGAATAGAAAAGGAGCTCAAACACCACTAAGGGAAAAAATCTAATAATCCAATAAAAAAATTGGCAAAAGATTTGAATAGACATTTCCCAAAAGAAGGCATACAAATTGCAAACAAGCATATGAAAAGTTGTGCATCATGATCATCAGAGAAATGCAAATCAAAACTACAATGGGATATCATCTCACCCCAGTTAAAATGGCTTATATCCAAAAGACAGTCAATAACAAATGCTGGCAAGGATGTGGAGAAAAGGAAACCTTCATATATTGTTGGTGGGAATGTGAATTAGTACAACCATTAATGAGAACAGTTTGGCAGTTCCTCAAAAAATACAAAAATAGAGCTACCATATGATCCAGCAATCCCACTGCTGGGTATATACCCAAAAGAAAGGAAATCACTATATTGAAGAGACATTTGCACTCCCATGTTCATTGCAGCACTGTTTATCTCAGATTTGGAAGCAACCTAAGTGTCCATCAACAAATGAATGGATAAAGAAAATGTGGTACGTATACACAATGGGGTACTATTCAGCCATAAAAGAATGACAACTTGTCATTTGCAATAACATGGATGGGACTGTAGACCATTGTGTTAAGTGAAAGAAGTCAGGCACAGAAAAACAATGAATGTTCTCACCTTTTTGTGGGATGTGAAAAAACCATACAACTGAACACACGGACACAGAGAGTAGAAGGATGGTTACTAGAGGCTGAAAAGAGTAGTGGGAGGCAGGGAAGATGGCTAATGAGTACCAAAAAAAAAAAAAGTTATAAGTAATGAATAAGACCTACTATTTGAGAGCACAACAGGGTGACTATAGTTAATAACTAACTGTACAGTTTAAAGTAACTAAATGAGTATAATTGAATTATTTGTAACACAAAGGATAAATGCTTGAGGGGATGGATACCCCATTCTCCATGATGTGCTTATTACACATTGCATGTCTGTATCAAAACATCTCATGTACCCATCAATATATATGCCTATGTACCCACAAAAATTAGAATTTTTAAAAAAAAGCTGATCTAGGAAGAAGACAAAATGACACCTGTAATACCTCATATTGGCCCCAGTCTTGTAAGATAATAAAAATAGAGCTTAGGATACAGTAGTCTCCCCACTTATCTGCAGAGAGTACATTCCAAGACCCCCAGTGGATGCCTGAAACCATGAATAGTACCGAACGCTATATATAAATACTATACATGCATATCTGTAACAAAGTTTAATTTATAAATTGAGATTAACAATAACTACAACAATTACAATATACTGTAATAAATAGTATGTGAATAGTCTCTCACAAAGCAGTAAATAGCAAATATTTTTATTTTTTCTTTAATTCACTTTTTAAAAAAATATTTAGTGGACTTATTATACTTTAAGTTCTAGGGTACATGTGCACAACGTGTAGGTTTGTTACATATATGTGCCATGTTGGTGTGCTGCACCCAATTCACTCTTACAGTTGAAAATAATAGTAAATCTTGGTCAATTTTGATAGTCTCACCTGGCAAGAAAATTAAATTGTAGTCGGTTTTTTTTGTTGTTGTTGTTGAGATGGGTCTCACTCTGTTTCCCGGGCCGGAGTGTAGTGGTACAATCTTGGCTTACTGCAGCCTCCGCCTCCCAGGTTCAAGCAATTCTCCTATCTCAGTCTCCTGAGTGGCTGGGATTACAGGGGCGCGCCATCACACCTGACTAATTCTTGCATTTTTAGTGGAGACAGGGTTTCACCATGTTGGCCAGGCTGGTCTCAAACTCCTGACCTCCAGTGATCCACCCACCTCGGCCTCCCAAAGTGCTGGAATTATAGGCGTGAACTGCTATGCCTGGCCTGTAGTCAGTTTTGAACATTGTCTTATCAGTATCTAAACCTTTGCATTTAGCTGATCACATATTGCAAAGGTGATTCTCAAACTATTAAGACTAAGCCTCACAATGTTTAAATCTATCCCATTAGCTATTCAGAAGCATGCTAAAAATAAAACACTGAGGCATGCAATGCCTGAAAAACACTTTGTTTATACTTCCCTTTTCCTTCTGCCTCATAGATGTGGTGCTGATCCTCATCTCCTTGGCAGGCCTCTTCTCTCTGTTTCTTAAATTCCTCAAGATGGGATCTTGGGCCTCTTCTCTTCAGCCTCTTTTCCGTGAACTCAGGTAAATTCTTGTTTTTTTTTCACCCCTCAATGCTTCAATTACCCAATCTTTACATAATTAAAGTCTCACAGATATGTGTCTCAGAAATCTACATCTTAATTCCTGTATCTACTGAGCTCAAAACCCTATTTTCCAATTGACTGCTGTACTTAAACTCAAAATTTCTAAAAGTCAAATCACTTGTTCCTTCAGTAAACTTTTCCCTCTACTTAGGCTGCCTTTTTCTGTTTGATACCATATATTATCCTTTTAGAGGCTAGAAACCCCGTCATTTTTGATGCCTCACCCTCTCAATCAATCAATCCCCTGTATTCTACCCTAAAACCATATGCCATATAGCACTAACCAGCAGTAGAGCAGAGTAGTTAGGAGCTCCAAAACCATGCTACACAGGTCTGAATCTTGGATGTTACATAAAAGCTGACTTACTTTTGGGCAAGTCATTTAACCTTTCAGTCAAAATGAATACCTACTTTCTGAAATTTTGGAGAGACTAAGTTAATAAATGTAAAGGACTAAAGACAGCATCTGGTACATGTAAATACTCAATAAATATTAGTTATTAATTTTTTTATTATTAGCTAAAAGCTAAGTACTTTCGAAGGTTATCCTCTGAGAACGCAATTAGAAAAAAATCAAGAAGAGCTTAAAAAACATAAAATTTATTATATTGAGGGTTACAAAGTTATAAATATATATTAAAAACAATAAAATCTCCTAATTATTTTAATAAAAAATAAGAAGGGTATAAGCCGTTTGAACTAAGAGATGCTATAATAATGTATGATTAAAAAGTTTTGGGAATCCCCCAAATCCAATCAAGATGCCCTGGAGAGAAACACAGGTCAACACAACTACACTGTGATATCGAGAAAGAAAACTTCTAATAAATAAGTAGCACTGCAAATGAAGAAAGACTGTGTACCTAGAAAGAAGATGGTCTTTGTATTAGTCTGTTCTCACGCTGCTTCTATGAAAAAATACCTAAGCCTGGGTAATTTAGAAAGAAAAGAGGTTTAATTGACATGCAGTTCCACATGGCTAGGGAGGCCTCAGGAAACTTACAACCATGGCGGAAGGCACCTCTTCACAGGGCAGCAGGAGAGGGGCTGAGTGCCAACAGGGGAAATGCCAGATGGTTATAAAACCATCAGACCTCGTGAGAACTCACTCACTATGATGAGAAGCATGTGGGAAACCACCCCCTTGATTCAATCACCTCCACCTGATCCCACCCTTGACACACAGGGATTATTACAATTCAAGGTGAGATCTGGGTGGGGACACAGAACCAAACCATAGCAGTCTTCCTTATAAGGAGTATCCAAAGACACAAAATTTGGCAGGGTGTTGCCAAGACAGTGTCCCAGGAAAAAGTTATTCCTGATTCACAAATAAGATCCTTTTCTATTGTAGAGGACTTCTCAAACTATTGTAACTGGATGATACTGGCTAGCATAATGACATATAGCTTTCCTCCTGTTCTGATTCTAAGCACATAAAATACTGTTTTAATTAAAATTTGGTTTTCCATACACATTTGGCTGGAGAATGGGCTGATTACCCAAAATGAATATTTAGCCTGCTTGATATGTATATTTTTCAATGTAAATTAATAACCCGAACACCATTTTTGGACTCCCTACACCAGAAGTAATTCTGTTTCTTCTAAAAACTCTTTACTTCAACTATAGCACTTATTTTATTTATTTTGTCTCATTATTGTTAGTTGTTTACATGTTTATCTGTTTGACCAGATTGTAAGTACCTTCAAGTATATGACTGTTTCTTTTCTTTTCTTTTTTTCTGAGACAGGGCCTTACTCTGTTGCCCAGGCTAGTCTCAAACTCCTGGGCTCAAGTATCTGCCTGCCTCGGCCTCCCACAGTGCTGGGATTACAAGCGTGAGTCACTACGCCCCACCTGAATATTTCTAATTCTTTTTTTGTCTTCAGTTCCCTACTGTGAAAATTTAAGTAGATTCTTACATGTTTGATGGATAAATGACTGGATGAATAGCATCATGTGATTATTCTCTTCCCAAGACTGAAAAGTAAACACCAAGATTGTACGTACCTTATTCTTTTCATTTTGAATAATTTCTAATAGCTGGTCTATGTGCCCTTCTTCTATGCATCTTTGCCCAGCTAACTGAAATAGGCCAAAATCCTCTTCTTTAAAGTCTTGCTCTTCTAGGATTTGCTGGCAAAAAAGCCCCCAAAAAACAAAAGAACAAATGTGTATGTAAATAAAAATTAAATACAGTAACTTCTTATCTATGAAAAAAGGAAATCTGTTTAAATTCTAGGTAAATGTAACGTAAATAACACATGTATCAAAATTAGGATTACCCTAATAAATACTTTAATAAATGACCTTGAAATCTACTGTACCAGTGAAACCTATGAAAAGGATCAGGATTAAAATGTAAAAGGTTATTTAGATAAGTATGTCACCTGGAGAAATAATCCAATCTGCCTCCCCCACTCACGTTCTTTACAGGTCAAAAAAAGCAAGGATTAAAGAAGATAAACAATTTGAGTGACCACAAATATAATTAAAAACCATCTGTGCCCTTCCCATATTTTGAAAGGTATTTAATTTTACAAAAATTTAAAAAATACTTACACATCTCTTTATTATAGACTGAAGTTCCTCTACAGCCATTCCTATTTCTCCCAGTTTCGACGCTAAAATCTACAAATACAAAACACACTGTTAAATATCCGTGATATTACATTTAAGTATTCAAAAGTTATGTTTCAGTGTGATAAATTATTAGTAAATACAATAAAGAAAATGGAAAGTTTTTGTTGTTGTGTTTTTTGGTCCAATAGCATGCTAGGAGAAAATGTAAAGTTCTAAGGTTGAAATGTTATTACTGAATCTTAGTATGTTTGTCTAAGAAAATAAAGTGTTTTTTTAGAAGCCCTTATTGCATCTTTTAAGTTTTCTAGGAGCATAGTTTTGAAAGCTATTTTGAAGGAAAAAAAGAAAAAACTCTCGAGTACTCCCAAGAGGCGAGGCAAATACGAACTAAAGGGCTTTTAAAAAGCAAAGTACTTCTTTTATGAAAAAAAAATTCGAAAAGGTGGACCTGAAATCAAAATTCTAATCATCAGGGGATTTTTTAATGTCTCACCTCACAAAAATTGGGGTGCAACACAAGTTTATCTATAGGGGGTGAAGATTCAGATGCCCTCCATCCCATTTCTCTCTAGGAGTTGCAGTACCCAAAGTGATCAATGCAGCTAGTGAAATCACTGTATCACACGGAGACAAGGCAACGGCGGCCTTCAGGAGGAGACCATCGCTTCTCCCGGAGGCAAGGCTCAGCCCCAAACCCTCAGTAGTGGCGCGGGTCAGCCCGGTTCTCAGCGCAGCGCGCTATAAGGCGAACAAAACCCCAGCGCGCGTGCGGGCGGCATCAGAGGAAGCCATGTCTTCCGATTCCTGCTCGCCTAGGTGTGCAGGCTCCACCACCTCGCGTGGCCTAGTCGGCCCGCGGCACCAAGTCCGCCGCGGCTCACGGCCAACCGCGAGCCCTGGCCACCCCGAACCTCTCCACTACTCCACTTACCGGCCAGATCTCTCGCCTCTCCCAGACGCCGCCACCTCCTCCGGCCACTTAGCCCGCTCTTCTGGCCCCGCCCCACGCCAGCGGGGTCCGCCTCGCGCTACGCGTAGGAAGGCGGGGCCTCGGGGCGAGACGCCGGAGCTAGTCCCGGTTCCGCAGACTACTCTCCCCGATGGCGGACTGTATTTGGCCGGGTTCTGCCGGCCGCAAGGCCGGGGCTCCTCGCCGCTCTCGAAAAGCCGCAGGTAGGAGCAAGGATGTCTTCTCATTTTGGGACCCTGAAAGCTGGACCCCGATCTCGAGTTCTAAACCGAAGCGCACGGGCGCTCCTGAAAGGCTGCTTCAGGGGAGGGGTCCTCCCAGGTAGAGAAGGCCGAAAGCTTCCCACCGCCGTCCGCTCCCCCTGGGAAAGATCTCCTGGCCGGCCCTCACCCCTTTACGCCAGTGTTGCAAGATTTCCCTCACGCGGGCCATGGCCCCAGCCTCTGAGAGAAAGTACAGTGGAGGCGCCGGGAACCCAGGCCTAGGGTCCCCGGGGTTCGGGGCAAGTGACTAGGGCAGCGTTGGCAGCTGGTCTTGAACCTAGGACCGGTCCTCCTTTCCAGATTGCTTGGGTGCTAGGTTCTTTGAGGTGCCGGACTCCCCTCTTCTCCCAAAGAGGACGTTTGGCAGACGGAGAGAGAGGTTTCCCTAAAAAGTACCCAGATCTCAGATTTTCAGGAATGATTGATTAAGCAACTGTGATACAGAAGAAAATTCAATCCCCAAAGAGATACATTTTAACCAAGAAAAATTAGACAGTAATCAATTTGCAAAAACAAATTGCTTGCCCTTCCTATTTCATTTTGATTTACACACGATTGGACATAAAATAGGTGGAAAAGAAGAAAAATTGGTCTAGTTTGTTATTTGTGTAGGAATCTATCTTGTACCTAATGTGTTTGTGTAGGCCTGACCTACTGCCACCATGTGTAGCTTAACTGCGGGGATGCATTTTGAGAAATGCGTTGTTAAGCGATTTCATCCTTGTGTGACCATCATAGAGTGCACTTACACAAACTTAGATGGTATAGCCTACTTACACACTAGGCTATATGGTACAGCCTATTGTTCCCAGGCTGCAAACCTGCACAGCATGTTACTGTACTAAGTACTGTAGGCAATTGTATATCTAAACATAGAAAAGGTACGGTAAAAATACAGTATTTTAGTCTTATGAGACCGCTGTCTGTATGCTGTCCGTCGTTTACGAAATGTCATTATGTGGCACATGACTGTATTTTTGTTGTAGGTACTAAACAGACAACTACTTTGAAACAAGAAGATGCTTCTAAAAGGTATGACAGCTACATGGACAACTACAATGGCATATCTACTTATCTCATATTACTTGTACCAATTTTAAAACTAATAGTTACCTTTTTTTATTTTTAGAGAAAATTATCATGAGGGGGAAGGGAAAGATCTGGGAAGGCCTATAAATTCTCACATAGACTGTTAACATTCCTCTACTCCAGGCTTTAAGAAAACCAAACTAAGCGCTCAGACTGCTAGTGAAGGCGTGAGTGTCTGTAGAAGGTGTTTGTTTTTCACCACTTCAGGTACACTCCCCTTTTATTGCTTTATATGCCAGAGACTCACTCTCCAAGTTTCTCTGTCACTCCAAGAAACCTTTTCTGTTCTTTGTTACATCAAGTCCAGATTTTCATCAAAAAGCTGTCCTGGCTGGGCACGGTGGCTCACGTCTGTAATCCCAGCACTTTGGGAGGCCGAGGCGGGTGGATTACGAGGTCAGGAGATCGAGACCATCCTGGCTAACACGATGAAACCCCATCTCTACTAAAAATACAAAAAATTAGCCGGGCATGGTGGCGGGCGTCTGTGGTCCCAGCTACTCGGTAGGCTGAGGCAGGAGAATGGCGTGAACCCGGGAGGTGGAGCTTGCGGTGAGCTGAGATCGCGCCACTGCACTCCAGCTTGGGCAACAGAGTGAGACTCTGTCTCAAAAAAAGAAAAAAAGCTGTCTTGTACTAGTTCTGGTTCTCAAAAGGCAAGATATTACCACATATCACACAAAGTTTTAGAAGAGGAATAGAATGTGAAGGGTATTAAAAGTATATGTAGCTATGATTTTCATTTTGTGAAGACTTATTAATCTTATATTGACTTTGGTCTTAATTTACTCATTCTTTCAAAAATTATTTACTGAGTATAAGATATGCCAGACCTGTGTTAGGCTCTGAAGATATGGTGAACAGAATAGACACAATTCTTGTCTAGTGGAACAGAGGAATAAATAATAGTTAATTAACATAAACACATAATTACAAATTGTGATAAGCACTATGAAGGAAAAGGCTGTGATGTTACGAGAAAGAATAATCAAGTCTAATTTAGTTGGAAGTGGGTGGCAAGGAGGTTAGTTGTGAGTTTTCAGGGAAAGCCTTATGCTGAGACCTGCATGCTAAGTAGACATTAACCAGACAAAGAGTATATGAAGATTTCTGTATGTGCAGTGCAAAAAGTAGCTTGTTTCCTTTTTGAAAAGTATTGGATCAAAAGTAACAGCATTAGAAAATAGAAATTTGGCCGGATATGGTGGCTTATGCCGGTGATCCCAGCACTTTGGGAGGCTGAGGTGGGAGTATTACTTGAGGCCAGGAGCTTGAGACCCGTCTAAGCAGCATAGTGAGACCTTGTCTCTACAACTAAAAAGAAATAAATATTTTTATTCAAAAAAATTTTTTAAATATGTTTAAATTTAAGTAGCAAAATAGTGAGTTAGGTTAGTGTTGTATTTTAAAAAATGGAATATTGGACATGAAGCTTATAAGTAGATTAACTTTCTCTTTCAAATTTTAGGAAAGCAGAACTAGAAGCAGCTGTGAGAAAGAAGATTGAATTTGAAAGAAAAGCTCTACATATTGTTGAACAGCTTTTAGAAGAGAATATTACAGAAGAGTTCCTAATGGAGTGTGTATGTGTTAAGTTGACAAATTATTAGTTTTGTAGCATAACATCTTTAAATCTGTGCAACATGAAACTTCTTTGCATTATTAAAATCTTTGAATTTGTTCTCAGTCATTAGATGCAGATAACAATCTATATAATTCATGCATTTAAAATAAACAACTATCATGCATTCCTTGTATAATGACTTTAAAATGCACTAATGAAAAATAACAAGTACATAACAAGGTGATGACAGGTAATGTATATTTCAAAATTAATAAGAGTGGATTTCAAATATTCTCACCATAAAGGATAAATATGTGAGGTGATGGATATGTTAATTAGCCTGATTTGGTCAACATATACATGTGTTAAAACATCACATACTACCCCACAAATATCCACAATTATTATTGTCAATTAAAAAGCAAAAAGAGGCCAGGCACAATGGTTCATGCCTGTAATCCCAGCACTTTGGGAGGCCAAGGTGGTTGGATCACTTGAGGTCAGGAGTTTGGGACCAGCCTAGCCAACATGGTGAAACCCTGTTTGTACTAAAAATACGAAATTAGGCAGGTGTGGCTCATGCCTGTAATCCCGGCTGCTCGGGAGGCTGAGGCATGAGAATCACCTGAACTCAGGAGGCAGAGGTTGCAGTGAGCTGAGATCACGCCACTGCACTCCAGCCTGGGCAACAAGAGCTAGAATCTGTCTCAAAACAAATAAATAAATAATAAATGGAAAAAAAGAAAAATGAGGATGGGGGAGAAAAAAAAAAAGAAAAAGCAAGTATATTTTGTCCTTAGTCGTAGTTCTTTTAACCAGTCTGCTAATATCACTTGATTTTCTTCAGTTTGTTCTATGATTGCAATTCCAGTTTTCTATATTCTGTGTTGTATTATTTTAAGTAACAGAAGAATATTATTTTTGTCAATGTAATTTCATCAATTTTCATATTTCAAAAACCTGAAATACAGATCATTTATGACTATAAAACAGGAGAATTAAGTTCCACATTAAATTTTTTTTTTTTTTTTTGAGATGGAATCTGTTGCCCAGTCTGGAGTGCAGTGGTGCAGTCTCGGCTCTGCAAGCTCTGCCTCCCAGGTTCATGCCATTCTCCTACTTCAGCCTCCCGAGTAGCTGGACCTACAGGAACCCACCATCAGGCCCGGCTAATTTTTTTGTATTTTTGGTAGAGATGGGGTTTCACCGTGTTAGCCTGGATGGTCTCGATCTCCTGATCTCGTGATCCGTCCGCCTCGGCCTCCCAGAGTGCTGGGCTTACAGGCGTGAGCCACCACACCCGGCCCACATTAAATTTTTTTAGGCCAAGCAGGATGGCTCATACCTGTAATCCCAGCACTTTGGGAAGCCAAGGCAGTAGGATTGCTTGAGCCCAGGAGTTTGAGACCAGTCTGGACAACACAGTGAGACCCTGTCTAAATAAAAATTTGAGAATAAAAAAATTTTTAAACAGCTTCACTACATTAAAATTTTGAATGGAAATTTCTTTTATATTCTCGTAATCCTTAAGAGGGCAAATGAAAACTCAAAGCTTCTATTACAAAAACACTTCTTAGTATAGTTCATAGATCTTTTTCTACAACAGGAATATGAACATGACAAGTCATATTTTTATTGACACAGGTAACTGCATCAGTATCTGCATATATGATGACACCAGAAAAGACAAAAGCAAATATGCTTCATTTGAAACATAAAACTTATATCACTCTCAATAAAAAGTATTTCAGTCCCTGTGAAAACAGAAAAATTTGTTAAAAGATCTCAAAGTTAAGAACAAGAATCAAGATTATTTGAACATGAAGATGTCAAAGGAAACTATTTGATGTTAGCTTATAACCATCACCTCACCACTCTGTACAAATTTTTCAGAAGTGGGAAAATTTTACACAGACTGTTCAGGAGTCACAATGACACTTTTGAAATACATTGTTGTTAAAGATTATGCTTTGGCCGGGTGCGGTGGCTCAAGCCTGTAATCCCAGCACTTTGGGAGGCCGAGACGGGCGGATCACGAGGTCAGGAGATCGAGACCATCCTGGCTAACACGGTGAAACCCCGTCTCTATTAAGAAATACAAAAAACTAGCCGGGCGAGGTGGCGGGCGCCTGTAGTCCCAGCT